CCCTCCGCCGCCCCCGCCACGCCATGTGTCCCCAGCAGGTTGGGCACCCCGCGGAGGCGCCGAGAGAACCGAAGCGTCGGAGCAGGGAAACGCTTTGGGGAAAGTGTTTTTGTGTAGGTCCTCCTCATCCGCTGGAAAAAACTTTGCCCTGGCAGCAGCCATAAACTGATCTTGTTTTATGATTATGACCATGCAAAGCATTATCGATTCCTCGTAAAACCACTAAGGACTCCCTGCCCGGAGGAGCCGAAGGGGATTCGCCTTGGGGATTCATATTGCTCGTGTCTTGTCTCGGCAGCTTGCTTTAGGGGCCCCGCTTGCGCGCAGACCCCCGAGGCTCCCTTGCGGCGGAGCCCCGCACAGGCGCTGGGAGGGCAGGAGGGGACAGCGCGGGGCTCGTGTCCTTGGGGAACGGCCCGGGGCTCCTCTCTTCGCCCGGAGACCTGACTTGCCCCATGCTTTCAGCGCTTCTTTGCGGCACTAAGGCAGGGAGAGGCAGCGCCTCGTGCCAGCCACCGACCCGGCCTGGGGACACCTTTGTCACGGGCAGGGCCCCTGGGGGGTGGCCAGGCTACCTGGAGGCATGGACAATTCCCCTAGATGCTGACGTTCTCCGTTCACAGCGAAGCTCCTCGGCGTGGGAAAGTTGACTATTCCTACTAATAAATCACTGCAGGAGCTTGCCAGCAGCTCGCACGACCAACCACCAGCCGCCGGTCAGGGGATGGGCACAACCCAAGGGACGGGGGCAGCATCACGGACCACGCGAACCTGCTCCTCCTTCTCCAGCCCCCAAACCCACCGGTTTCCAAACCCATAGAGCACGAGGAGCAACGCAGGGATAAAACCACCACCTTGGAGGTGGCTCTCAGGCCTCCAGGAGCAGGGAGATACTTAAAATTAAATAAATAAAACAAAAAGCTCTCTACCAAGCCAGCCCTGGAAACTGGGCATGAGTGCAAAAACCAGATTTAGGAGAAGGGTCCGCAGGGTGAGCTGGGGGCAGCGCTGCGGGGGACTCCTCTGCATCCCCCCCGGCACGGTATTGCCTTTCCCCTTCCTCCTCCTCCTCCCCGAGCCGTCTCTGCCACCA